CTAAATCGAAAAAGTGTTTTAATTGTAATTTTACTTAAATATTACTAGTCATATTGATATAATATTCGTTCACATCAAATATTCTATATAAACTTTATATGGAATTGAATCAAATTTGTAATGCTATTTTATATAAATTACTTGACTTAATATGTTTTAAATACATTTTAACCAACAGCTTAATTGTTGATTGCTGCTTAAAAATATATTTTATACTTATTTTGATAAATATACTTTAAGGCAAATTAAAATTGTCTGTGCTAGCAATAATATTGCTCAATTATTTCTATTATAGAAAGTTCCAAGAATCCAGATCGATCTATCTAGCTTTTTCCGGTCTGCAATAGACAATCCTGAGTATGTTCTGAGTTCAGTACCTTACAGTGAACCACCTGCAACATAGACTTTAGGAATGGGTCTTTTACAGTTTCACATAGACCTTATGCACACTTTGATTGCTTACAGAAGCATCTATTGATGAAATTGATTTGAAACAATCTGTCGACATCTGGACATGAATATTATAATAAAGTAACAAGTTGTCTTTGTACCTTTAAGAAGAAGTGAGGTGACAGTCTAATCGTTAAAGACTAGTTGTAGTCATATATATATATATATATATATTATATATATATATATATATATATCTATGACATTGGCATTATAATGCTCTTTATATTGTCTTCTTCTTTTTTTTATTTATTTATTTTTTTTATTTATATACATCATTTTCATATCTCAGACAGACAGAAGTACCTGGTATGAGAGATTATGAAAACAGTTTACCTAATTTATATATACATTTCATTTGATTATTTCATTAATATAGTATCTATTATAATTACAATATTTTTATATAACTCTTCAGTCTTCTTTGTCTTCAATTTCCTTATATTTCATTATATATTTTATTGGCGTTCCATATGACATTTCCTCTAAATTTATTCTTTCTATTGTGTTCAATGTGAAAATTGTTTTGTTGTCTAGTGTAGTGTTCGTGTATATCTTGATTTGTGTCTATTGTTGTACTTGTGTTATCAGATACATGTCTTATCAAATAAAGTTAAATATTTCTTGTAAATATTTTTTGTAATTTTTTTTACAAACTGTTTGGAACTGTTTACAACAGGCATTTTTATACAACTTATGGTATTCAATATATTACAAGAGTATTATTGAGATTCAAAAGGTTAATAATAATAAGAGAGTCATTATGTGCTGGCAATTAAAATTGTACATACAATTTCAATAGTAACTCAATTATTTCTAAAACTTAGAATATGTGTATGTTTAACAAGTTTGATTTTTGAGGTGGTTTAAAAATTTGAGCCTGTATAATATTAGTTATAAATATTTATATATTTCTGTTAGATACTGATCTTACTTACGGTTATTAGTTTTTATTTAGTACATAACTTACACTTTTATCGAAGGTATGACAAATGTATTCAAATTGCTATTTTCCAAGTTAAGAACGAAATAAAATTTATAACAATATATTCATTAGTCGCATAAAATGTTGATAATAGCAATAATAATTTCAAATTTGGCGCCTGACTTGCCTGCTGAAGTTGCAGCGACACAGTCTTACCATTAGCAGTGAAGTTTGCATACTTACAACAGTCGCAGCATGTCCTGCGTCAAAATGGCATTTCAAACAATTTCATTTCGTTTATGTCGTCAAACAGAGAACATTTCCATACGCGTGAATGAATAAATAAATAAACCAATGAATCAATGAACATTTATGTAGAAAAACAAGCTGTTGGTTGTTTTAGTGTTTAATGTTAAGTAGGACTTTTAAAACCGCCGAACCGCCAAAGACTTTGTGTCATGTGCTTTGTGGTTTTGATTTAATAGTGACAGTTTAATGTTGACAACATAGTGTTGAAGAAATCTTAGAAATATATCTATTAATGCCAAATAAAATTAAAGTGTGCAGTGAATTTTAAGGTCCCTACGTTTTTGTGTTCCTGCTTTAAATGTGTGCGTAGTTTTTGATCAAAACTTCAAAATGGCAAAAATCTGAATTGGATCGCAAAGTATCAGCAGATGAATTGTAAGTACGACACATATGATTATTTATCTAAATATTATGATTTATAGATTCAATAAATTTGAGTCCCTGATGGTTTATTATTCCCATTATCATTTTATTACCATCACTTTTTTATTTAGAAACTGCTGCTTCCATGTACCCAGATCCTGTCCTTTGGCTTTAAGTTTGGCTCTGTATTGTTTCTTTTCAATGATTAGGATATGTTAATATATGTGATTTTTTTTATTTAAAACTGAAACTAATCTCATACACACTATTTATTCTTTTAGCAAACTTATATTATATTATATTCTCATTTTGAACAAACATTTTTTAAAATGTGTTTTATACAATTTAAATACACTTCAACAAGAATATACATGAAGAAGATATTGAAAAACATTTTAAAAACACGATAGCATAACATTTTTGATGAGAGATGAGAGCGATTTAGAGAATTTCCACCAAAAATATTAAAAAGATTTTTTACAACAACAAATAACTTTATAATTAATTTAATGCAACATTTTTGCAATTAGGAACTTCTTAACTAATTTTAAGGAGTTCGTGTCTAGATGATTGTTGGCGGTAGATGTCCAAATATATGTTTTTAATTCTGAAACAAAAATTGTTGATATAAATTTATATATGGGGACAGAAATTATTACAATCAAATTAACCTTCATCAATCCACAAGAGTTTTTTTGTGAATTTGTTTCCCAAGAATGATGCTTGAATAAAACACTCATTTTCATATTCATTAATAATTTATCCACATGATGCTCTTAAATGCTTCACAAAGTTCTCTCAAATTCCAAATGTTCTTGCTTATGTATTCAATTTTGAATTAGGATTTGCCAGAATTCTGCATTAAGAACATTTTAGATTTGAACAGTATCCTGTAAAAAAAAGTTTAGAATCTCGACCAAATAAACAAAAAACAAAATTCAATAATGTCAATATAAAAACTTGACGCAAATTCAGTTTTTAAAATCCCAGTATTTGTTTCAAATTTTACATACCATAATCTCTCAAACCAGGTACATCTGTCTGACTGGGATATGAAAATAATATATAAATAAATAAATAAATAGCAAAAAAAACATGCGAATTGCTAGAACTTTCCGTAACAATTTTTTTTTAAAAAAAAGATTAACATTTTTGAAAGAAAATTGCTCTGAAAAAATTAGATTTTTGAGAAACTATTCATTTTTGACAAAAATTTACTTTTTGTAAAAAAAAAGACTTTTTGAAGAAAAATTAATTTTGAAATATTTTGGAAATTCTAAACTTTTTTTCAAAGCAATCGTACTGCTTTAACTGCATAGAGACGAAATATCAAAGCGCGTAAGCGCCGCGTTGCCGTCTAACGGATAAACATTGGTGCGGAACCCATAAGAATGTAAACAAAATTTATACTTATTGTTAAAATCTCTATAAAATATCTGATAATTTGATGTGCATATGTCTAATGATCATTTTTGACCAGATGGCATTTTTTTTTTACTTTTTTTTACTAGATCTCCAAAACCGCTAGACCTGCCTTCATGAATCATTGATCAGTTCTTCTTCTTGTTAATGCAAGTAAAATGTTTTTTGAATTATTCAAATCGGACGCTCCATTCTCTTACTATGAGTTACCGTTTTTGGCAGTTTTTGCCCCATATCTTCGGAACAGCCATACCTGCCTTCGCCAAAAACTAATCAGCACGTCTCCTTATCATTATGAATCAATGTTTTTTGAATTATTCAAATTGCTTCATCCGTGTTCCCGAAATCGTCGACGAAAATTTGTATCCGCACACACATACATGTACGCACACACACACACACACACACATACATCCATTTTTTCTAAGGTATGCCAAAATGTTCAGAAGGTTTTGAAACGTAAAGATATATGAAAAATTTTATTTTCGATTTTTTTGCCATTACTATAACTTGCCCTACGGGAAGTTAATGAATACTCATTGCTTCATAAATGATTAACTTAAAGTAAACCAATAATATCATATTACCTGTTTATCCTTTCTTAATTAATCGTCTGGGCTTGCAAAATAATGCAATATTTGAATAAGTAATCTCTTTCTTTATAAAGCTAGACTAGGTCTTTTGTATGGGTATGTTACACTCATTATTAACTAAAACTGCCGTTTATCTCTTGCCTCCATGGAATCCGCCGTTAGGCACTACTTTATGGGGGGAAGATCTAGAGTTATATGATTCCCACTCTTAATTATACTTTTGTCCTAATTTGAGCCATTTCTTTCTTAAGAACGCAAGTTCTAAAAAAAGTAATGTATATTGTGATAAAATCAGCATCAGGTAATTATTACTAGACTTTACAATTCTATAATTCCCATTCATAATTATACTTTTGTCCTAATTTGTGCCATTTGCTCTTTTTTTTCCTAAAACGCAAGTGTTCAAAAACAAGATGCATTTTAATTTTAAGCATTATTGTAAAAAAATTGTGATGTACATTCTATATTCAAGTCTGTAGATCAGTGGCGAATCCATCTTTGGCGCCAGGGGGGGGGGGTCATATAATTGAATTATGTATAGAAATTAGATTAGAAAATCCTTAAATTTTTGGGAATCCTTGACTCCGCCGTTCGTCTATAATAAGTTACATATTGAAGTTATAAAACGTGTTTGGTAACAAAATACATAAATAAAATCATTATGAAGTAATTTTATTGCTGCATTAGTATTCTATCTAAGTCTTAAGACAATCTCAGGGGGGGGGGGGTCATGATTCCCGTGACCCACCCCCGCGATCTGCCACTGCTGTAGGTACACCCAGGCCAGGATTTTGTTGCATTTTTAGAACATGTCAATAAGCAGTCTTCTAAATAAAAGCTACAATTCACTCGAAGTGAAAAGATGTAAATAATAGATTGACACATGTTGATTGTGTATATTTCACTGAGAACAAAATTTACAATTAATAGGATTTTTTTCATTGCCTCTGTCCGTTCACTCCTAATTTATTTACCATCCTTCTAAACGGCCTTTGGTGCAGAAAGCATATAATGATCACTGTCATGTTGTCACTGCCTCTCGCTCCTTGTCTTCCATCGACAGCCAAGCAATGCGATAGCATGTCCTCACAAATACTTGCAACACTCAATCCAGCAGCCAACCTATCCCTTACAAAATCCAAGGCTTCTTGGTTTCCCATGACATCCCAGATGCCATCGCAAGCTACTATTACAAACTCCCAATCAATACTCAGTGGACGAATTTCCACGTCCGGAAAAGCAGTGACCATTTGCTCCGTGCTGGTTTTTGTAATGTTGTTTTTGAAAACAAAATCGCCAAAAGCTCTCGATAGCGCCAATACACCGTTGACTCGATTAAATTCAACCCAACCACCGGCTTTGACAATTCTATGGAACTCGACCTCATTGTTTGGTTTGTGGTCCCAGGACAAGAGTTCCAATTGGCCTCCAACGCAGGCAATTGCTCGTGAATCTCCAATATTGGCGCAATACAACGTCTGGTCCCGTATCAGAATAGTAATTGCTGTACTACCGGAAGCTTCCTCTTTGGTCTCAGGATCTTCTGCTATCGCCTCATCCATGTCCAAAAATCCTATCTTCATAGCTTTGGCTATATTTCTTTGGCTGTATTCTTGCGTTCGTACGATGTGATGGTAAAGATGTTTGGCGGCATATTGGGCAACTTTAGCGCCCCCGTGACCATCGAAGACCCCGAAGAATGCGGCTTCGGGATCGTTGGGTAAAGATAATATGTGGACGTGGGCATCCTCCATGGTCTGGCGCCATCCTTGCATGCAACTAGAGGCTACGTTGTATAAGTGATTTTGGCAGGCTGATGTTATTTTCGTGGTCACGGGCTCGGATAGTATTTGGCCCGTTGCGAAACCTAAAATGAGAAGAAATCATCAGTGACAACTTAACCTGCGTTGAAGTAAGGACAACAAATGATTTAAAATCAATACTTTTGATCAGGTTGTACAAGCCATGGATGAAGTGAATCAGTCTACACATTTCTATTTTAACAATAAGTAATATTTTAGGGATTTTCACACTAATGACAGTTATTTTGTAACTAGTTCTATAAAGATTACATATATCTGAACTAGCTACAAAATAACTGTCATTAGTAATTCGTAGTGTTCCACTTTTTTTTGTTTTTATTTTATTTTTAATCTAATTATAAGTTCTATAAATCTAAAAATAAATTACGATTCAATTACTGGATTATTGATTAGTAAATAAAAAGTAACTAGTGGTATATGGCATCGTGCCATATTGCTGGAAGTTCCCGTACCGAAACGAAATGTTCGAGGAATATTAAATGTTTTCAAATAGATTATTATAAATACTGTAACATTGTCTAATATTTACAAAAATTATATAAACCGAATGGCAAAGTTAAAATTATTTGTTTAAAGTACATTAGAACTTTAGTAAATTTGAAACATTTTTTTTCCAAATGCAATTATTTTTAAGCAGAAAGTTCTATTAATAATTCAAATCGGACGCTTAGTTCTCTCAAAAACTGCCATTTTTTGCACATTTAGCTCTGTAACTTCGAAATGGCTAAACCTGCCTTTGCCAAAAACTAATCACCTCTTCTCCCAATCATTACAAATTGAATGCTTTTTAGATTATTCAAATCGGATGCTCCGTTTTCTTAAAAACTTTATTTTCTTTTTTCTGCATTCTTTGCTCTTTATCTCCGTAACGGCTGGTCATACCTTTGCTAAAAACTAATCATCACATCTCCCTATCAATAGGAATCGGTTGATCCGTGCGCCCGAAAACGTGGACACACATACATCCATTTTTTCTGAGGTATGCCAAAATGTTTAGAAACCTTCAAAACGTCGAGAAATGCAAAAAAATTCATTTTTGGCCTATTTATAACTACCCTGCAGGAAGTTAATAAATAACAGAAACTCGTTGTAAGTGGCATTTATCCAGATTGTTTCTATCAAAAATTTTATAAAAAAAACTAAAAATTATTCTGCTATTATTCTAACCTGTAGGCAGCCACATAGCACAAAGAGCGTGAAGATTTACTGAATTAATTTTGAAAATTGGAATTTAACTGTAATTTAGAATAATTTCATCAAAAGTAATTTAGTTTTTTAAAATAAAACGTAAACGATTTTGGATTAAAATTTTTGACATATGTCATTATATTTATTTTAGGCGAATAATTTTTCTTTGAGAGATAAGTAGTAGTTGATGCTTTTTTTTAGAACGTTATGCTGGATTTACAAGAATTTTCAAAAAAAAAAAATGATCTGCATGCGTCAACTTTTATTGTCAAACGATTTTTTTTGCTAAAAATCTTTTGAAATTTCGGAAAAAAATCATGTTAATTATTATTATAACCACAAAGTACCAGGCTCAAATCAGTACAATTCTCAATTGATATCTTTCGAACGGATTTTAAATTTTCAAAATCAGTTCAGGATTTTTTGCGAAAACGTTGATGCAAATTTTTGCACTTCTCTTCTAATTATAAAAAACAACACAAATTTTTATGGAATTTTATTGAATGGATTCAAATTTTCAAAATAGGTGCCGCCATTTTTGAAAAAATATCGACGAAAAGGTCACACATAGTTTTTTCCAATTTTGGTTTCGACTTGAACATTGTGAAAACATAAAATTACCAAATAGGCTTTTTTGGCGAAAACAAATTTCTCCTTCGGAAATATAGTATTTTGGAAAATACTGCTATTTTTATCATTTATCACAAAATTATTTAAAATAAATTAAGTAAATTTATACCCCATGACATTTGAAAGGTTGAAAACATGTGCAAAGCGCGCATGTTATTGTCGAAATGTTTTTCTTTAAATGAAATTTAAGTTATAATGTTTTTTTTAAGAAATTTTAAAATAATAATAAACATTAAAGTAGAAATTTAAACCTGGTCTATGCTACGAAACAAGTAAGATTTACATATAATATATTTTTGACTAACCTTTGGCGAATATATGTATGTTTATCCATAATACTTTCTTGAGCATTTCTCAGTTACATTTTTGACGATTTTTTTTTGTCTAGATCATTTTTTGTAAATGAAATTACATGAAGATTTTTTTGAAATTTTAGTTTATGACTTTGTTAAAATATTGGATGCAAATGACATTTTAATGACATTTGAGAGAACAATTATTTTGTTAAAATAATTAATAGGAGATTGGAAAAGGTTATGGAAATATTCGAATATAATATCTTCACATGGGAAAAAGGATATATACTTATATTATATTTATGTAATACCAGTTTATCAATTATCAATATAAATTATTTAATATTTTTTTAAAAAAATACAAAACCATTTCTAAATTTGCTTCACAACATTTATTCTGGTTTAAGAGATAACTGGTTGTGATTGGAAAGGATGGAAACCACTGGTTTATCGTGTTGTTTTTAAGTTTTTATATTTTTACTCGAAATTTTTCAATTATAAAATTATCTAGTATTTTACTGATTAAATACGCCAACTTTTGATGAAATTTGAGAACACACTTTAGTCCATTTTTTTAAAAAATGGGTCTTAGGGTCGAACGTTTTTAAAAAAATTAGATTGATAGTTCAACATAAAGTCCTAATTCTTGAAAACTTGGGTCAAATGTGTTATTATTTATCACTGTGGTCCTACAAATGTTATTCACAGTTACGGTTTCAAAGTTTAAATAAACAAAATTAATAAAATTCAACCACAATAACCAAAAAATGATCATAATTTCGCCAAAGCTCTAGGTTGCACTTAAAAGCTCATAATTTCCAAACAACCTGAGAAATTTTTTAACTTTCCGTAGGGTAAGTTATATAAATCGCAAAAAAATAGAAAATGAAAAATTTTATATATCTTTACGTTTCAAAGGTTTCTGAATATTTTGGCATACCTTAGAAAAAATAGATGTATGTGTGTGTGCATGTGTGCATGTGTGTGTGTGTGTGCGCGGATACAAATTTTCGTCGACGATTTCGGGAACACGGTTGGAACCGATTTTAATTGTTCAAAAAGCATTTAATTTGTATTGATTAGGAGACGTGCTGATTAGTTTTTGGCAGAGGCAGGGGTAGCTGTTTCGAAGATACGGGGCAAATAGTGCTAAAAACGGTGACTCAGTTTTTAAGAGAACGGAGCGTCCGATTTTAGAAATTCTAAAAACATTTTACTTGTATTGACAAAATGAAGAACTGATCGAATTTTTGGGAAGGCAGGTCTAGCGGTTATGGACTCTCATTGAAAATAAGTTAAAAAAATGCCATTTGGCGGTCAAAAATGTTTATTGGACATATGTTACATCAAATTATCAGATATTTTATAAAGATTTTAATAATGTGTACACATTCTGTGTAAATTTGGTTTCCGAACCAAGACTTTTGATTACAGTACGGAAAGTTCCAGCAATTTGCCTTAAGGCACCATGTCATGCATTCTACTAGTTTTCTAATTTGTTTCAGTACAGTTAGGGTCAATACTATCACCCTGTTTCGGCTTGACGTTAAGTTCTGGGACACCCTGTATAAAATTATTTTTATGTTAAAAAGACAATTTCCGTTATCATTTTACTGTATTTGTTTGATTTTCGTAACATGAGGGTATAATTAGATTTAGTTCAAAAATGAGATTGCCCCTATGCGATTTTATGTGATAATGTGTACTGATTGTGATGCATGCATATTGTTCCATTGTGAAAGCATATGAGACACAAAACACATGTGACATGATCATAGATAAAATATCATCAAATAAAGTAAATATACAGCGATTGTTAACATCAATGAACCGATAATAAAATATATTGCCTGATTATTCTTTTCTGATTTTGTTATTTTTTGGTGATGTACCATGGTGGCAGCAAAGCAAATGTAGAAAAAGTACAAAATGAATCTAGCTATGTGCTAATGAACATTATTGTACTAAATGGATTAAAGTGCATCTTTATGATATACTATATTTTATGATATTCTTCTAATATCCGACAAGATTCTTATATACTTTTATTGTTTTTATTTTTAAACGGAAATAATCTTTTAGCTATTGTGGTGATATTAGAAGCCAAACCCATTGGTTAACCTCTCTATATTTGATATAGTATTTTATTTATTAGAATTTATCTAATACTGGTATCTTATTTGTCACATGATGCAGCAATTTCGGCGAAGGACAATTTTCACTTGGAGGCATATTTAGATCTATATTGCAAGTGAAAAATGTTATCAATGCTGCTTGATATCAGTTTGGGCGCTAATTTATCAAAATGATTTAATTATATTTTTTATATTGATTCGACGTTTGATTTTTGTTTTAAATTGTATGTTAACAAAAGTTCAAAAGGCTTTAGGCTCAGAGTGTGAAAAAAATTGTGATTTTGTTCGCCTTAAGGTGAATTACTAGAACTTTCCGTACCAAATCATTTTTGATATTTAAAAAGAATTCAATAAAAAAGATGTTTTTCTTTAATTTTGAAAGCATTTTTTTTTATTAAAAAAATTGAACGTTTTTGATAGTTTTTTTTTGGAACCGTTTGAACATGCTTTTTCCAAAAACTAATTGTGCTTTTAGAATGCTTTCTTTTAAAAACTGGTATTTTTTGTATTACAATTTTACAATATTACAATTTTACAATTTACAACTAATCAGCACGTCTCCCTTTCAATACAAATCGAATGTATTTGGAATTATTCTGATCGGATGCTCCGTTTGCTTAAAAACGGCTATTTTCGCACGTTTTGCTCCGTATCTCTCAAACGGCTGGACCTGCCTTTGCAAAAACTAATCAGCACGCCTCACCATTAACACAAATCGAATACTTGTGAATCAATCTAATCGGATAACCCGTTTTCGCAAAAACTGGATATCCATTTTTACACTTTTTGCCCCGTATCTCCAAAACGACTAGAACTGCCTTTGTCAAAATCTAATCAGCACATCTTCCTATGAATAGGCATCGAATGTTTTTTGAACAATTCAAATCAGTCAATCGGTGCTGCCGAAAACGCCGACAAAAAATTGTATCCATACATACATACACACAAACACATAGACATATCATTTTTTTCTAAGGTATGCCAAAATTTTTGGACGATTACTATAACTCCTACGGGAAATTAAAAAACTATTGGCAATATTTCTTGGACAAAAGGAATATATGAATCATTTATAGCTTTCCATAATAACTTGAATTTTATTAATAAATAACACTAAAATAGGATTTATATGAAACTAGCTTCAGATAATTGGTTTAACATGTTGTGCTAAAGATATCTTTTTGTCTATCAATTATATATATATATCACTTTTTGTATATCAATTCAATCAATTCAATCAATTTGTCTAGTATATTTCGAAGTTTATTAAATTATTGTTATATCATAGGTTCAATTAATGCATTTGATAAATAATTAATTCTGACATCAATGAACAAATTCGAAAAAAGACAAAAATAAAGATCTTTATCTACTACCCTTATATATAGAGTCCGACAAATAATTTTTTTTTTACAAACTACTGAATATTTTCTAAAATTTCTTTTTTTATTTGAAAGAGCAATCCTTTCAGTTAATAATGAAATTAATTCAGTTAATAATGATTATAATAATTTCATTCAAAAATGAAGAAAAAAAGCCTCGGCTGACCGTTGAAAAAAAAGAAAATGAAAAATGTTAGATGGCATACCCTATACTAATTATAATTTTCTATTTTTCCAGCAATGTCTCTTTCACTTAAAAACACCATCTCGCCTTTCGGTTAATACATTTGATAAATGATTAATTCTGGCACCAATAAAAATATAAACTAGTGGTGTGCATGGCATCGTGCCTTAAGGCAAATTGCTGGAACTTTCCGTACCGTTATTAAAAATCTTGGTACCGAACTCAAAAAAATACACAAAATGTGTAGACATTATTAAAATCTCTATAAAATATCTGATAATTTAATGTACATATGTCCAATAAACATTTTTGACCGCAAAATGACATATTTTAAACTTATTTTTATTGAGAGTCCATAACCGCTGGAA